CCCTATGACAATGGTTAACAATCTCACAACACATCAACAATGTCCTTACTCTACTTTGTGTTCCCTATCATCAGCTTCCTACTCCCCTTCTGCCTCCTGGGCCTTGTCACTGGACTCCTGTACCTTGTTACTCTCATGGTTTTACTGGGCTGTCCACTCGCAGTGTTTGCCCATTTTTTAATTGAGCGATTTGTATTTTTATTGTTGAGTTGTAAGATTTCTGTATATATTCTGGATAACAGAACCTTTTCAGATATACAATTTGACAGTATGTTCTCCTGTTCTGTGAGTTGCCTTTTCATTTTCTTGAAAGTCTCCTTTGAAAGCACAAAAATGTTTTTAATTTTGATAAAGTCCAAGGCCTATTTTTTCCTTTGGTTGCTTTTATTTTTGGTGTCATATCTAAGAAACCATTGCCTAGTCCAAGGTCACAAAGATTTACGCCTGTTTTCTACTAAGAATTTTAATAGTTTTAGGTCTTTGATCCATTTTCAGTTAATTTTGTACATGATGTGAGGAAAGGGCCCAGCTTCATTTTTTTTTTTTTTAACTGGTATCTTATTTTGAGTAGAAGTCTACCCAGCTAAACAGGTTCCCATTCAACAATTTTTACATGTATTGTTCAGTGACATTTGTTACATTCTTCACATTGTATCAACATTCTCATTATTTCTGTTCTAGTTGTTCTGTTCCCATTAACCTAGTCTCAGCTCTCCAACCTTCTCATCTACGCTTTAGAGTATTAGTTGACCATTTGATCTCATATAGATGATTTTTTTAAAAGAGCACAGTACTCAAGGGTGATATTCATTACTTTATAAACTAACCTATTTAGCTAAAAGGTGACTTGAGGGAATAGTTTTTGTTCAAGGTTTAAAGAGTATCTCAGGGCAGTAGTCTTGGGGATTCTTCCAGTCTTAATGAGTCCAGTAAGTCTAGATTTTTTGAGAATTTGAAGTTCTGTTCCACGTTTTTCTCCCTTTCTATCAGGATCTATGTATCGTGGCCCTGATCAGAATGTTAGTAGTGGTAGGCCGTGTTTTGTGTAGACAGTCCTGTAGACCAGTTCCTTTTCTGAATTTTGGGTTTCCTTCTCCAAACAAGTAGAGACCAATAGTTGTATCTTAGCCAGTTTCATTATTTTGCTTGTGGGTATCTTGTTGTCCTAGCACCATTTGTTAAAACCTTTAAAAATTCCCTTAAGTATTCTGTCCCTGAAAAGAAGGTGACTATGAGCTTCATCAGTCAGGTCCTGGGGACTGCTGAATCATCTGTCATCTTGGGCCCTTACTAAATATTATTATAATCAGTAGTCTCCTCTAGCCCCTTCAGCCCTC